CTGCTATTTATGTGCATGTTTGTGTAGCAGAAAATCATGAGGCATGCTAGAGAAAGATCTCTTAGACCTTTTCCTTGTTGCCATATAATTTTTTTATGGGAAGATAATCTTCTGTTTTATTTATTTTTGCTTATCTAAATTTTTTTATGCCATATCATATAAAAGACAATCACTGAAGAAAACGTTGGGTGTTGGGTTTTTAAAAAATATATATGAGAATGTACTTGATAACCATTAAATTGTATTGATAGCAACCTAAGAACTAGAACTCAGGGAACAGACCTAGAACCTGGATGGAATAGAAAATCTACTTTTCAGGATTGTACAATTTTAGTATTGGCTTGATAGTTGAAAATGAGGTAAGAAATAAACCTGTATCATAAGCTGGTTGACATCAAGTTGACTCCAACCTTACATGCCAGGGTAGTCTTGTAGCGTTTTCAATGCTGATTTCTTGCAAGTTGCTCACCAGGCACTCTGAGGTACTTCTGGATAGACTCCAATCTCCAGTTTTTAGTTAGCAGACAAATGCATAACCTGTTTGCATTGTCTAGGTAGGCAGAGGATCTGCAAACAATTGTGAAATGTTGATTTATGTGAATATGTCAAATGGTATAAACTATTAACATGAATTTAGTTGAACTTCACAAGCTAGCACTGTAATACAATAGCTTTGCCATGCAAGGTTTGACAATGAGTGTACTTTAGAAATCAAGATTCTTAGCTTTAAAAAAAAAGTCTTAGCTTTGAATCCTGGCTCCCACAATTACTTGCTGTCAATCAATCTAATACCTACATTATCAACTCAAACTTGTTAATATATTTAGGTAATGGCATTAGATATGGACATCAGCACACACTTTTTTTAATAAATAGTAAATATCTTTTAATGATTCTGTTTTTGTCATAAAACCATTACAATTAGTTTTTATAATCACTGGAATAGAAAAATACTCATAATCTTAGCAGTATAGTATAGCCATCTAGAGCAGTTTGTTGTATATTTTTGTCTCTTTTAATATACAGAATCCTCTTTTCATAAGTGATTGTGTGTTCTTAGGTGCCATTGAGTCAGTTCTAATTCTTTTAATTTTATATTGATATATTTACAAAGTTCAAATACATTGTTTTTCACACAAGATCCTTCCCATTTCCTTCGCCCTCCCACCCATTGAATTGTGCAACCCTATGATTAACATCCCCCCAACCAACCATCCATCCTAAGCCCTATGCTTCAACCCCTGCACCTTGGATCCTCATACTTATTCTACCATAATGGTTTTTTATAGTATTTGTCCTTGTGGGACTGAGTTAGTTCACGCAGCATAATTCTCTTCAGTCCCTCCCAAGTTAGGCAGTAAGAGAAATGCAAATCAAAACCACAATGAGATACCATCTCACTCCAGTAGCAGTGGTAAATTTAACAGGACAGCAAATAATGAATATTGGAGAAGATGTGGAAAGACAGGAACTCTTATACATTGTTGGTGGGTTCGTAAAATGATACAACCACTCCAGAAGGCACTTTGGTGCTTCCTCAAAAAGCAGAACATAGAAATTCCATATGACCCAGCTATTCCACTGCTTGGAATACATACACCCCAAGAAAAAGAGAATTGATTTTCAAATGGAGACTTGTACACCAATGTTCATAGTGGTGTTATTCACCATCACGAGATCATGGAAACAGCCCAGATGTCCAATCACAAACGAATGGATTGAGAGTTGTGGTATATTCATAAAATGGAATACTACGCAGCACGCAGGAGCAATGATTTTGTAAATTACTATCTAACTTGGGAGTCAGTTCCAATTTTGATGACATTTTTTAACAGCAGGACAAAATATTCTCTGGGCCTACTTTATCTTCTATGGCTTGCATCAGACACACTTTAGTCTTTAAACTAACACTAGCTCTTTAGAACTTGGGAGAGATCCTTGATAGCAGATTTTCCCAATGCAACACATCTTTTGATTTCTCTCTCTCTCTCTCTCTCTCTCTCTCTCTCTCTCTCTCTCTCTCTCTTCTTTCTTTCTTTCTTTCTTTCTTTCTTTCTTGACTGCTGCTATCATGGGTATTGATTGTGGATCCAAGTAATATGAAATATTTGACTACTTTAACCTTTTCTCCATCTATCACCATGTTGTTTTTTGGCCCAGTGATAAGGATTTTTCTTTTCTTAATGTTGAAATAGAACTCATATTGAAGGTCTTTGACCTTCTGCTGTAAATGCCCCAAGTTTTCTTCATATTCAGCAAGCAAGACTGTATCTTCTGCATAAAACAAGTTGTTGATGAGTCTTGCTGCAATCCTGATACCACATTCTTCTTCATAAAGTCTATCTTCTTGAATGATTTCTCAGCACCCAGATTGAATGAATAGGTATGGAGAAAGGATGTAACACCAACTCATACTTTTCCTGATTTTAAACCATGCAATATTGCCCCATTGTGTTCAAATGACTGCTTCTTTGTACAGATTCCACATAAGCACAATTAAGTAATCTGGAATTCTGATTCTTCTCAATGTTATCAATACTTTGTTATGACACACACAGTGAAATGCCTTTGCACAATCAATGAAACATAAGTAAACATTTTTTCTGATATTTCTTCTTGTCTTTGACTTGTGTGATTGACAAAGAGTACTGAATATACTCTGGACTGACAAAAGAGCTGACAAATCTGCTTTGAAGAAAGTGTATACAGAGTTCTTATGGGCATGAATGGTCAAATTTTGTCTCATTTGTTTTCATTGTGTGCCACTGAGTCGGAACCAACCCATAGCTGATCCCTCCAGTGGGTTTTCAGAGGCAGTAAATCACATGGAAGAGATTGCCTTTTCCCATTGGAACAGCTGGTAAATTTGCAGCTTTGGGATTGCAGCACAGCTTCTAACCACTAGGTCACTAGAGCTCCTTCATTTGTATCATTTCATTTGAATATTTTCAGGAGGAACGAGGAGAGAGAAATCATACTAGAAACAGTAGAGGGTCAGCAAAAGAGGGGAAGAAGATCCTCAATGAGATGCATTGACGCTGTGACTACCACAGTGGGCTTGAGCAGGACAGAGAGCACGAGGATGGCACAGGATAGGACAAGGTTCAGTTCATAGGGTCACTATGAGTTTTCAACTTCATGGCATAAATAACATCAATAATAGCAATAACAACAATAACCTCATCACTCCCTCTTCAGAATTCTTTCTATGTTTGAGTCTATTATTCCAGTCATTGTGCTAATCCATGTCATTTGAAAGTCTATTTCACTGACCCTCTTTTACCAAGCATCATGTGTTTCTTCAGGGACTGGCCCTTTTTAATAACATGTCCAAGGTACTTGAGATGAAGGCTAACCAACCTTACTTCTAAGGAACATTTTGGCTCTATGTATTCTGAAACAGACTTCTTGGTTCCTCTGGAAGTTTATATTTAACATTCTTTGCCAACATAGTAATTCATGTTGTTGTTATGTGTCGGCGAGTCACTTGCAACTCATAGTGACACTGGGTACAATAACCCTAAACCCTGCTTTATCCCTTGCCAATCTTATTGTCTCTGACACGCCAATCTCCATTATCCCAGTGATGGAATCAATCCACCTCATAGAGGGTCTTCCTCTCCTGCGCAGTCCCTTCACCCTCCCAAGCATGATATCCCTCTCCAAGGACTGGTCCCTCCTTGCAACATGTCCAAAGTATGTCATACAAATCTTCAGTAGTATTTAGGATAGACAGAGCTTGCAAGCCAATCTAAAATAAAAATTTAAAAAGAAAGTCCTTAACAAAAAAAGTGCAGACTCAAATAAGTGGATACATTTTATTGTATCTTAAAAATTATTATCCACTTGGCCTCATTTCTATAGCTGGGCAACTCTTAGATGTTCCTCACCATTTTGTTGAACAGTTTCTTTTTCAGAGATACAGATACCATCTAAATTTTTTTTCTCTCTCTCTCTTTTTTTTTGTGTACTAGCTTTTGACTGGGACTTGTTGAGTTAAAGCAGCTGAGTTCTACATGAGTTCAAGGTAATTCTATTTAAAAACGTGCTTCAATTTCAGAGCTTGAGATACTGAACAAGTAACACCTGCCCTTATCTGAACCCTATGGATGTGGTTTTTTTTCACCCAAGAAGTGTTAGATTTCAACAAGAGACCCACTCTCCTGAAAAAGGACTTGGATGGGGAGTAAGTCTACACAAACCCCAACTTTTAGGGGAAACCCAGAGTAACAGCCTTGATTATTTTCTGAAAGACTACTTAAAATAGTGTGGCCTTTGCCAATTCCTTTCCATTTACCCACCATTTATCAGTGTGAAGCTTTCTCTTTCCAAAAAGCCTGACCCGAGTTCTACACTGATTTAATTGAAGTCATTCTACATGCTTTTTTAGATTCTTTTGCAACAACAGCGTGACAGTGTTCCTTCAGAGTGATGCCATTTTCTAGAATGTCAATAGTCTGGTTGCTGAGAATGGTTTAATTCTTGAAATAGAAGCAGCCAAGAGCCAAAGACATAGTTCTTCCATCTTCCTGACTCATTGTCCAGCTTGCCCTTGCATATGAGGCAACTGTAAACAATACAGCTCGGATTAGGCACACTCCAGTCTTTAAAGTGACATTGTTGCTTGATAACATTTTAAAGAGATTTTTTACTAGCGTATTTGTCCAGTGTAATATACTATTGGATTTCTTCAGTGCAGCTCCCATGGATACTAATTGTGGATCGAAGTAAAATAAAAACCTGACAACTTTATTGTTTTCTCCACTTACCATGATGTTACCCACTGGTCCAGTTGTGAGGATTTCTGTTTTATGTTGAAGTGTAATCTATTTTTAGACACAGTTTTCATCTTAATCAGTAGGTGCTTTATATCCTAGTCACTCTGAGCAAGAAAGCTTGCAATATATCCATATTGAGTCTTATTTTTTTTCATTTTTTTTTCTTTCTTTCTTTTTTTTTTTTTTGATGGCCTGGTGATGCCGGACCTGCTCAGCTCTTACCTACTTGTAACTGGTAGTGGAACCGACCCAGGAAGCCTTGGCACGTGAGCCACCGGGCTCCGCTTTTACCGACTTCTACCTGGTACCAGTAACGGACCCGAACCAGAAAGCCGTGGCACGTGAGCCTCCGTGCTCTACCGGTGAGCTGCATCTCCAGGCCCGAGTCTTATTTTTTTTTTTAAATTATACTTGTTTACTTACAGAGTTCATACACATTATTTTTCACATCAGATCTTTCCCCTTTCCTTTTACCCACCTCTCCCTCCACCCACCAAATTGTGTGACCCTATAATTTAACACACACACACACACACACACACACACACACACACACACACAGACACACCCCTGCCATGGATCCTCATACCAGTTCTACAATAATGGTCCTATACAATATTTGTCTTTATGAAACTGAGTTAGTCCACAGCATAATGCTGTCCAGTCCCTCTCCTATTAGGTAATAATTTACAAAATCATTGCTCCTATATTCTCTTGTGTGAATGTATCATAATTTCTCAATCCATTGCATTGTCGTTGGGCATTTGAGTCTTTTTTCATAATGCTACATCTTCTCAGATTTTTTTGCACATCATACAGATTGATCAAATGTGATGAAAAGATGCTATTGTGATGCATCTTTCTTGATTTTAAATGAAATAGTCCCTTGTTCTAGTTGAATAATTATCTTCTAGTCTACATACAGGTTCCAAATGAACACAGTAAAGTGTCCTAGAATTCCTAATCTTTACATTATTGCATACAATATGTTTTTGCAATATATGCAGTTACATGCCTTTGAATTATCAGTAAAGTACAAGCAAACATCTCTCTGATCTCTCTGATATTTTTTGCTTTCAACCAAGAATCACCTCATATTTGCAATGATTTCCCTTCATCCATGGTCTCTTCTGAATCCAGTTTAGATTCCGGGCAAACTTTGTTGATGTTTTTTTGTAATAATTTAAAAACTATGTTTAGCAATATTTAATCTACATGTGGCATTAGATATACTGTTTAGTAACTTCTGCATTTTATTGGCTCAACTTTCTTTGAAATGGGCATGTGCATAGACCTCATTCTATTGATGATTACATAATTTGATGACTTCCAAGTTTCTTGGCATATATAAGTTCACATTTCCAGTATTATATCTTTGTTTGAAGCATCTCATTTGGTATTTTATGTATTTCTGGACCCTTGTTTTTCACCAATGCCTTCAGTACAGCTTATACTAACACTACTGGGTTTTGATCTACACTACCTCCTCATATGTTTGACCATGGACCTGTTCTTTTTTTTTTCACAGTGACTTTGCACATTCCTTTGGTCTTCTTTTGATGTCTTTTGGGTACATTTTGCCCCTAGATTCTTCCATTTTTAGTTTTATTTGAATTTTTCTTTAGTAATTTTAGCTTGCAGAAGGCTGAGTAGTTATTTCCTTTTTTTCTCTCTAGATCAAGGTCTTTCCATATTTCCTTTCAATTTTGGATCATCCCTTGAAATCTTCTGCTTAGCTTATTAGTTTATCCTTTCTTCCATTTCTCCCTCCATATTCCCTTATATTTTGATTCCACATTCAAGAGAAAATGTCAATCTCTTCAGATATCCATTCTGGCCTTTTCTTCCTTTCTTTCCTATCTTTATAATGACCTTTTCTTCCTTTTCATATGTAATGTCCTTCATGCCATCTTAGAACTCATTTAGTCTTCTGTCATTATTGTTTAAATAGTCAAATTCATTCTTGAGCAGGCCTCTAAATTTAACTGAGATGTGCTTAACGCTATACATTGGTTATAGTGCGCTTGTTAGAAATTTTCTTCAGCTTCAACTTGAACTTGTAAATGAACAAATGATCATCTGCTCCACAGAAAGTCCAGGCCTTACTATGACTGATAATATGAGCTTCACTATTATCTCTTTCCATAGATGTAGCAATTTGATTTCCATGTATTCCATCTGTTGAGGTCCCCATGTACAGTTGCCATTTATATAGTTGACAAAGATACCGAAAATAAATAAGTTGTTGATCTTCCAAAATTCTGTCATGCAATTCCTGCTCTTTCTATCACTACGGCCATATTTTCCAACTACTGAGATTTCTTTGTTTTCACTTGTTATATCCCATTTACCAGTGATTACTAGTGCATCTTGATTGCATACTTAATCTAGTCCAGACTGCATGCGTTGACAAGTGGTTCGGCAAATTTTACAGCAGAGTCATCTAAGCTAATCTTTCTTGTAGACATAGAGATATTATCATATTACTGACAGCATTGTATTCCAGGAAAGATCTTGAAATGTTCTTTTTGACAATAAATGTGGTACCATTCCCCTTTATCATTCGTGGCATTGTAGACCACGTAACTGTCTGATTCAAAGTTGTTAATACCACTCCGTTTCAACTAGCTAATGCCTAGGATGTTGATCTGTTCTTGTTCCATTTCAATTTTGACAATGTCAATTTTCTTAGCTTCATACTTTGTACATTTCACATTGTGATTATGAATGAATATTTGCAGCTGTTAGTTTTTAGTTGGAGCCATGCCACTTCAGAGAGTGAAGGTGCTGAAAGCTTTCTTTCATCATGTAGAGGTAGACTCTGCTTTGAGGAAGCATCTCTTCCAATTGTATTTTCCGTGCCTTCTAACCTGAGTGCCCTCCACTCTACCAACACTATACTCATGTCCTCCTACTATTGTTTTCTGGTCATTTTTTTTAAGGACTAATTCTCAGATTCTTCTTCTTACTCAGTCTTTTTCTGGACATTCCATTGACTCCTGCCCACCATGGGTGACTCTGTTTGTATTTGAAACTCTGGTGGCATAGTTTCCAGCCTACCATCAATGCACAAACCAGCACAATAGTAACAACTAACAGATGAACCATGTGTATTCAGGTTTAAATAAAATAGTATTTGTGAGTCTCTTGATTTGTCCCACATTGGATTGGATATTGGATACTGGATGATTGAATCACACTGATTTTAGGAGTACCCTTTGTAGTAAGAAGTTTGATTCAGAGCACTACAGGAAGGCTGGTGAACTAGGAAGCAGAAACTTGGCTTGTGAAAGAGAAATATTATGCAATTAGACATTGGTTAAGGAAAACCAACTTCAGAGTTGGAAACATCAGTATAACTCTGCTTTGTGAACTGCTCTGATTACCAGTTTTATTATTATTTTACTTTATTTTTACTTCTGCCCCCTAACTTTTTTTAGAAAATTTAATTTTATTAATTTTAATGAACGTTTACAGAGATTTTGGATTTCCATTCATTCATTGTTGCACTTTTCTCCCTGACACCCCTCTCCCCCAGTTCGCTTCTCTCGTTGAAAAGAAAAACTCCTTCATTGGTATACAATCCCCTTGCCCCCGCCTAGAGTGCACTCCACTATGCAACCTTAATTCTGGACTACTGTGGTAACCATAATACCCTATCATATAGTGCTTTTAAACTGTTCTCTCCCGCATCTGCTTCAATGCAGTTTACACAATTTATCCAGTTTTTCTCAGTCTTACCCCAACCCTGATGTCAGTCCCATTCTACAACAGAAATTGCCCCCTAGCTTTTTAGATTAGGGCAAATAGCTCTAAGTAATGAGATTTTATCATTGAGGAAGAGATAGGCATATTTTTAATAATTTTAAATATTTAACCTGGAGGTTAGAGTTCTCAAGTGACACAAGTGCTTGCCTTCTAGTCAAAAGTTGGTAGCTCAATCAATCCCAGTCAGAATTGCCTCCGAAAAAAGTTCTCAAAATATTGTTGTTGTTGTTAGATGCCATGGAGTCGACAATGACTCACAGTGGCCCTATGAATAGCAGATCTGAATTTTTCTCTATTCTGTGCCATCCTAACATCTCCCATATGCTCTAGTCCGTTATTACAATCACCTTATCAATTCATCTTAAGGGTTTTCCTCTTTTTTGCTGATCCTCCACCTTCCCTGGCACTATGTCTTTTTCCAAGGACTGGCCCCTCCTCACACTGTGTCCAAAGTATGTGAGACAAAGTTTCACCATACTTGCCTCTAAGGAACACCTTGGTTGCACTGTCTTCAAGACAGGCTTCCTTTTTTATTTTGGCAGCCCATGAGATCTTCAGTTCTCTTCTCCAGCACCTTAATTCAAAGTCACTGTTTCTTCTTTTGATACCTTTATTTGTTGTTTGACCTCTTTACTCCAATTTTCAGATTCATGGGGAAAGTAATTGAAAAGACCATGGCTTGGATCATTCTCACTTCAGTCTTGAAACTGACATCCTCAATCATTAGCATGTTGGAAAGGCCTTAGGCAGCAGATTTTCCCAATACAACCCATTTGTTATTTCTTGACTGCATGGTTATTGATTGTGGATCCAAGTAAAATTAAATAGTTGATAACTTCAATCTTTTCTCCATCTATTAAGAAGTTACGCATTGGTCCAGTGGTGAGCATCACCACATTCTGTTGAATCACATTTTTTTTAATAAAAGCAAATATGATTTCTTCCAGTCAGTTGGCCAAGAATTAATGGAATATCAATTGGCATGTTTCAACAAACAGATGCAACTTTGGTCTTGTTTTTTGCCAATGCCTGAGTGAAAGTTAGCAGATTTATACACCTATGGAGTATGTACAGCCCTACTTTTATTAACAAAGAGTTGCCAAGAATCATAATAATCTTGATGGCAACAGACTTGATTTTTTTAAAAAAAATTTACTTTGTAGAGTGGTGTTGAGATATGGCAAATGTGGAGGGGGGAAGATCTGAAAGCAATAGTTTGGTTAAGGCAGGACTACCTCACTCCCCACCTGAGGGGTTAATGGAGGAGGCTGGGGAGGCTGATGGGGCACATAGAGAATGTGCCTTCATCCCTGCAGCATTCGCTCTCCCTACTCACAGAACTACTTTCTCGTGTCTTTCCAAGTACCCCATCCTTTCTTTAAATAAAACAATCATTTCTGTCCGGTTGCCTGGAGACTCAGTGTAACTATCCAACCTCACATCAGCATGCACTTTTGAGCTCCCTCTCTTCTTGTTTTGTCCACTGGTCAACCAAATTTCCTTCTGATGAGTACAATTGTCACATTTGTGCAGTAGGTGACTTTTAACCCTTTTCAGCTTCAGGAGGCCTATTGATATGTTTTGTTATGTTTCACCATGGGCTAA